ATAGAAGTCCTGAAGGTGAAAATCGATTCTGCCCAAAAGAGACCGGTCGCCAGGAGCCCAGCGACCGGTCGCTTCCAAGCACTGAAGTTGAGCATCGAATCTGTCCAGAAACGACCGGTCACCTGGAGACCAGCGACCGGTCGCTCCACAGCAGAGAGCACAATATTTTTTCCTACTTCGCCGATGATAATGATGAAGACCCCCCTCACATCTCAGTACCAGCTGATCAATCTCCTGAGAATACTCCTGAGGTACGTGATTCTACTACATCTAATGTTTTAGTTGATAACACTGTTAGCTATCAATTACCCAATAGACAGAACCGTGGAAAACCACCAATTCGGTATTCACCGGATAATGGCAAAGCATCGAAGTATCCAATTGCAAACTATGTTTCTGCTGAAAAATTATCTGCACCTCTCCAAGGCTTTGTGCACCAATTATCTGCAATTTATATTGCAACCAAAGTGAGTGAGGCATTGAAGGATCCAAAATGGGTTCACGCAATGAAGGAAGAGATGCATGCTCTGGAGAAAAATCACACATGGACACTGGAGAGTTTACCTCGGGGAAAAAGGACTGTCGGATGCAGATGGGTTTACACCTTGAAATACAATGCTGATGGGTCAATTGAACGCTACAAAGCACGACTTGTGGCAAAGGGTTACACGCAAACATATGGTATTGACTATGAAGAAACCTTTGCCCCGGTTGCAAAACTTAACACTGTTCGTGTGCTATTGTCCCTTGCAGCAAATCTTGATTGGCCTCTCCACCAATTTGATGTGAAGAATGCCTTTCTCCATGGAGAACTCACAGAAGAAGTCTACATGGATATCCCACCAGGATATGTTACATCTACTCCTGCTAATGTGGTGTGCAGATTACGGAAGGCATTATATGGGTTGAAACAGTCTCCCCGGGCATGGTTTGGGCGTTTTACCTTGGCAATGAAGAATTATGGTTTTAAGCAGAGTAATTCTGACCATACTCTGTTCTTAAAACACAAGGGAGGAAAGGTAACAGCTCTTATCATTTATGTTGATGATATGATTATTACTGGGAATGATAAGCAGGAAATTTCTCAACTCCAACAATGTTTAGCAAAGGAGTTTGAAATGAAAAATCTTGGTGGACTCAAGTACTTCTTGGGCATTGAAGTTGCTCGATCAAAGCAAGGCATTTTTCTCTCCCAAAGGAAGTATGTTCTAGATTTATTGGCAGAAACGGGAATGTTGGATTGCAAACCTGTGGACACTCCAATCGTTCAGAATCACCGCCTTGGGGAATATCCCAATCAAGTACCCACTAACAAAGAAAGATATCAGAGATTGGTGGGACGACTGATCTACCTATCCCATACCCGACCCGACATTGCGTATGCTGTAAGTGTTGCTAGTCAGTTTATGCATTGTCCGAGTGAAGATCATATGGATGCGGTTCTTAGAATTCTTAAATATTTGAAGTCCGCACCGGGTAAAGGACTTATGTTCTCTAAAAATGGTCATCTAAATATCAGTGGCTATACAGATGCAGATTGGGCAGGGAATGTCACTGATAGACGATCAACTTCAGGGTACTTCACATTTGTTGGTGGTAACTTGGTTACTTGGAGAAGCAAGAAACAGAATGTTGTTGCTTTGTCTAGTGCAGAAGCCGAATTCAGAGGCATGACCAAAGGAATTTGCGAACTCCTTTGGTTAAAGAAATTGCTTACAGAGATTGGATATGCACCTACATTAGGAATGCATCTACAGTGTGATAACAAGGCTTCAATATCCATTGCACACAATCCAGTCCAACATGATCGTACTAAACATGTTGAAGTGGATCGGCACTTCATTAAAGAAAAACTTGACAATAAAGAAATTCAGCTTCCGTTTGTCAGGTCCGAAGACCAGCTGGCCGATATTTTGACAAAAGCAGTTTCTAGCAGGGTATTCCACAACTCACTGGTCAAGTTGGGCATTGGTGATATCTATGCACCAACTTGAGGGGGAGTGTTAGCAATATTGGCTTCTTGTGTGATTGTCCTTTGTGGAACACAAAGACATGAAACACAAGACACCCCTTGTCTCATGGCACTTGTCTCATTCCTTGTTTTAGGCAATGTAATCCTTGTTTTAGGGAATGTTTCATGGAATGTTTTAGGGTTATTACGTGTATATATGTTTTGATGTGTAATAGAATGAACATATGTTGAAATCAGAAAATATGCATAGCTCCCAAAATTCTCTACACTCTCCATTATCTCTACTCAACCTTCAATATTTCTCCTTAATTTGACAATGTTGTCTCCCTCCCTTCCCATGTGTTCTCTATCTTCTTCTCCCTCTTCTTGTTGTCTTCTCTCTCTCTCTCTCTCTCTCTCTCTCTCTCTCTCTCGCTCGTTTCTCACTGTCATTTTCTCCTCTCACCCATCTCTTCTTCTTCTTCTTCTCCTCCTCCTCCTCTATTACATCCTACTTTTCCTCTCCCTTATCCTCTTCTCTCCCTGGACTCCATTGCCAATGTGATTTCTTCTTCTCTACCTTAACTCATCGATGTCGTTGCGTGGCAATATTTGCTCGAATTTGGAACCGCCTGACTATCTAGACTTGCAGCCATTGACCGTATCTGATCAAGAAACAAACCAAATTGAACCAATTTCTTGGTGAACTGACCATAGTCTATAGAATCATTGGGTGTTTCAACATTGGTCTTCGGAACTGGAAAAATGATGAGCTTTGTTTGGTGTGCACTTTCCAACAATCTGTGTGTGTTCGTTTGATTGCGTAACTCTAACTCAAACCTAACTCGAGCCGTCTTGTGATAAGTTATAAAATGCCATAGCATTTTAGTTGGCATAGTCCTTGAATTTAGACATAATTTGTATTTTGGTCATCGAATTGCAAAATGCTGCTATATTTCCTGAACTCCACTTTCAATAGCACTGTTGATCCTGCGTTACTTTTTCTGTCAAATTCAAGAGGAAAAAATTATTTTTTATGTTCTTTTTAATGGGCAAAAGTATATTTTTTTGTTCGTCCTCCTTTGTCTTTCTTTTTTAATTGATTTGGTCAAGATTAAGGAGATTGGGTTGGGGGACAGATCTAGTAGATGATTGGTTGAGGGGAAATATCTTGTGGGGGTTAGGAATGGAAGATCTCATGGTGTGGGAGAGGGTAGGTCAAGTGAATGGGGATGGTGTGTAACAACTCGACCCAAATTTATCCATATACTCATTTTAATGTGAAACCAATTTGACCAAAACACCCATATTAGGAAGGCTTTTATTTTTTTTCTCTCGAAAAAACAATCATAAAAGTATGGTTTTTGAAGGAAGTTGAGGTTCCACCCCAAAACCAATTGGCTATGGAGGGAGTAGCCCAACTCCTTATAAACCCAGGCTAGGTCCCTTAACATTTCAATGTGGGACAAATACTCTCAACAGTTTTGAAATCTAGCTATGGCATGATTAGATAAAGCTCAAGTCCACAAGTGTTTGGCAGCAAATGGCGGGTAAAACGGTGTTAAAATGAGCAAGTTTTGTTCAAAATAAGTTTAGGAGCAACATAGTAGTTCCGAGGGATTTGTTTTTAAAGACCTAGCAGCCCACCTCTTTTCCCTAGCCAACAACTCTCTCTCTCCTCCTCTCTTCTCTCACATCCAAACTTTGAGTGGCCACAACTTCTTCGTGTAATGTCGGACATGCACAGGGTTCATTATGGATTCCAAGAGGGGATCCGGGATGGGTCCTGTCATGGTGGTTGGTGGTGGATGGTAGGTTGGGTGTGATGAGAGAGACACAGAGAGAGAGAGACCATGGGAGGTGACTCATTGAATTTAGGAGGTGGGAGGGGGGTATGGTGAAATATTTTTTTTGTTATTTCTTTAATTTATTGTGAAAATGGGGGGCGGAGGCTGGGGGAAAAGAGAGGAGAGGTGATTAGGGAAGGAGGCCAACAAACCCCAAAAGCGGTGGCGGCTGGAAGAAAGATGTTAGATTAAGTCTTGATATTAGAAAAGAAAAAAATTCGATAGTTTCACACTTACCGGATGGTTTGGAATTGACCCAATGCATTTACCATTTATAGGGCATTTAAGAAATGCGTGAGTCTGCTGACAGATCCAGTTGCCCCATGAGCTGCTGAGAAGATGTCGGCACAATGCAGTTGCCCAATGCAGCCCCGCTATCTAGAGAGATAAATTAACATTACTTCAGAGGGAGAAAGTCAATACCGCCAAGCCCAACCAGATCAGGCACGCTTCGCAACACCCACCACCCTTTCCTCGAGGCAAACACATATTTATTTCATTTTACCGAAAATGGCCATTGTGCAACTAAATAATTTTATTTAATAAATTAAAAAGTCAAGTCTTACATTACATGTCTCATGAATGTGGAAATGGCTTCTTTTTTTTTTTTTTGGTTTCGTTGATAAAATCACGGACATAAATATTATCTAGTTGGGTTATGTGTGAAAAAAAAAAATTATGGTTTGATCTAATTAGAAGAAAGATGCCAGAAATAAAATCAAGCGTTACCTTTATATTTGTCTCTTTTTGGAGAATCTAAAAAATTAAGTGATGAAAACTGGTTCGATATGATATATTATGATTAATATTTGGCATGTTTACTATATTATGAGTAGAAAGTTATGAATCGAGGAAAATTTCATGCCCACAATGCATGTAACCGAAACAAAAACAAAAACAAAATTGAGTTTATAATCAACATGAAAATTTCATGTCCAATTTACTTATTTATTATCATCGAAGTCGTCTTTTGAGCTTTCCTTTTCCAAAACTCTGGAAAAAGGTGTGCATTAATTGGTACTTGTATGCATAAACGTATATATGCATATATTTTATTTTCCAATTTGCGTGTGTTGACCATCGTTTGATGACAACTTGCATCACATCTCTTCTCCTTATATATAAGCGTTATCATCTCAAAGACATATTTCAGATAAAGAAAACTTCAACTGTTTGACATTTTTAGAGGGTCAGATTTGCATTATTCAAGTGTGTCCAATTTTGAGCTTTTTCTCTCTTTGTCCTTTCTTAACACTTCTTGTTGGTATTCCAAATTTCTACTTTTACACCTTTTCGTTATTAATTCTCGATCTACAGATGGAGGAAGTCGATATTCCTTCCCATTTTCTCTGTCCAATTTCATTGGAAATCATGAGAGATCCCGTCACCGTCTCAACGGGGATCACATACGATCGAGAAAGCATCGAGAGATGGTTATTCTCAGGCAAGAACAATGCTTGCCCCGTCACGAAACAGCCCTTGTTCGACGGCACAGATCTCACTCCCAACCACACTCTCCGCCGCATAATCCAAGCTTGGTGCACCCTCAATGCTTCGCATGGCGTCGAGCGGATACCAACCCCAAAGGCTCCGCTCGACAAATCCCAGATCGTTAAGCTCATTGAACAAGCCAAGAAATTGCCTAACACCAACCTCCATTGCCTCCGGAGGCTCAGATCCATCGCCATAACACAAAGCGAAAGGACCAAGAGCTGCTTGGAGGCTGCAGGAGCACTCGAATACGTGGCCTCAATAATCAACAAGGCTTCCTCTGATGATCAATCTATAATCGAAGTCGCTGTTGAAGTCTTGTTTCTTCTGAAAGGCTCGGAAGCTGGCCTCAAAGATCTCATAAGCAACGACGGCGATAATAATATCATGGAGTCTTTGGTCAAAGCATTGAAATTCAAGAATTTCCAATCTCGAGCTCACGCAATAATTCTATTGAAGTCTGTTTTCGAAGTGGCAGATCCAATCCAGTTGATGAGTGTCAAGGCTGAGTGCTTCCACGAGATAGTGCGTGTGTTGGATGATCGGATTTCACAACAAGCGTCTAAGGCGGCATTGAAGCTTCTTGTGGAGCTCTGTCCATGGGGAAGAAACCGAATCAAAGCCGTGGAAGGCGGCGCAGTTTCAGTCCTCATAGAGGCTCTTCTTGAGACACATGAAAAAAGAGCGAGTGAGCTGATACTAATCGTTTTGGATCAGCTTTGTGGATGTGCAGAAGGGCGAGCTGAGTTGTTGAAGCATGGGGCTGGGCTAGCCATTGTGTCCAAGAAGATCCTTAGGGTTTCGCACGTGGCGAGTGACCGGGCAGTGAGGATATTGTCCTCCATCTGTAGATTTTCTGCAACTTGTGGTGTTCTTCAGGAAATGTTGCAAGTGGGTGTTGTGGCCAAGTTGTGTTTGGTGCTTCAAGTGGATTGTAGGTTTAAGACCAAGGAGAAGGCAAGGGAGGTTCTCAAATTGCACTCCAGAGTTTGGAAGAATTCTTCATGCATTCCTTGTCATTTGTTGCCTTTTTATCCATCTTCATCTTCTTGATCTCACACATCTTCTTCTTTTTTTTCTTTCTTTTTTTGCGTATGTACATAACTTGACGGATCATCAGATGCATGCAACTCAGTTTTGAAGAAAATTGGGGTTCAATTAAAGTGGGAGTTTAAGAATATAGAAAGTTTCACTGTTATAGTTTATTATATTGTTGGAACATTATTTGAAGTCTATATATTATTTATTTATTGGAACATTTGACTCATATATAATATAATTAACATGAGACCGATCTGTACTTGGCTTGGCATGGCACATTAGTTTTTTTGTACGATCTAATATTTTGAAACTAGTCGAATGGTAAACTTACACAATTTCCTTTAAACACAAATGATTAATGAGGTTCCACTCACTCAGTAGTAGTTGGGATATTAGATTTTTCGTTTATGATTATTGTTCTCTCATGGTAATATTACAAATACTTATAAGCAGTGAGTGGGCTCTTAATCACTTTAATTCACCTTCTTCTCAAGCGCATAAATTAGTTATAGAAAACCCAAAAGAAGGCATCTAACTATCTTCAACTAGGGATGGCATAAATTTCCGTCGGGCTAGGTTCTCATTGGGTTCCCTCCGGACCCTAATGGGGGGAGATTTCAGGAAAAAGTCGGGGACGGATATGGGGATTTCCGAATTTGAAAAATCTCCGGTTAGAAATGGTATTGTTATCCCCATCTCCGTACCCAACCCGATAAATAATATATTTATTTTTAATCAATATATAATATAATCAAGTATCTTCCTTCATCAGAATTACTCACAATAAGTGAGGCAACCTTTTAGAGACCGGAAAAAGGTTGCTTTATGGATGTTTAAAAGAAGAATTGGTATAAGTGAAACTAATACAAGGCATGCTTGTTTGTATCTGGATCTTCTTCTATGTGAAGTGGACGACTACTAAAAAATTGGGTAAAAACCACGATCCAAAGGCCACAAAAAAAATTGTTATGTCATTTTTTTTACATTGGTCACATATATGCAGTATTTGTGTCATATGCAGAGAAGACACAATAGTTTCGTGTCCAACTTGAATAGAAGAAGAAAATTATTGTGCTTAGTTAATTTAGGCACAACTTTCATGGCCTTTAGAGAGCACAAATTGACAACTTTTGTGCCTAATTGTTCTATATATATACTTTTTTGTTAAAAAAAATATTGTTACCTATATAAAGCACGGATACTAAATTTGTGTGCCTTTGTGTTGCACACATTTCAAAGTATGGTGCCTATAGAGCACAAATAATGCAATTGTGTCTCTTCAGGTTGCCCATAGAGCACGAATACTAAAAAATTGTCTCTTTAAGTCACATCATATCTTATAAACTAAGAAATTGAACATATAGATCACATTTATATCTTTCGTGCCTAAATATTTTGTTTTGCACGCATATTATAGTTTATATAAAATGGTCAAATGTACACCATTTCTATTTTCAAACAAAATTCTTGATTTTCATGCTTTTAGTATATATTTTTTAAGTAGTTTTTGTGGAAATGCCAAATTTTTTTTATTTATTAATATGCTAGTAACTTTAGGACACGCTTATAACAATTTGTGCTTAATATTATATTTTTAAAAAAACTATAACAAAATAATAATTTTCATGAGGCATGGAAAACTTTAAACCGTGCCTAGAGCTCTCACTGTTTTCAATTTTCTTTTCTTTTTTTCTCGCTGTCGCTCTCACTCCTCGCTTTCGCGCGCGCTCTCTCTCTCTCTCTCTCTCTCTCTCTCAACTCTCGATCCACCTCTCTCTCTCTCTCTTGGATCTCACTGCATCTGGGATTGAGTCCAAATGATGGTTTGAATTTATTTTTTTTGGGATTTTTGGATCTGATCTTTGTTTGATTTGGTTTATTGTTTTTTAAATTGTCTCTTGCATATTGATTTTGGCTTGGGTTTCCTGACTCTCTGCATCCTAGCTCTCTCATCTACAAGGTAAGAATTAATTGTAGCTTTTGTGGGTTCGTGTCTGCATGTATAAGTTTTGACATATATGTTTGGTTCTGATTTTAGGTTGGGACTTCCTTTTGGTTGCTGAAAAAAAGGGTTAGGAAATCCCTATTTTATTTTTGCTTATTTTTGCACAGTTTCTTGGTTGGATTTTTTAGATACAAATTGGTTGTGTGTTTTTAAATACAAATTGGTTTGGGTATTTATTATGGCAGAGACATTGAATTTCAGTTTGTAGGCTATTTTGATATCTGGAGAAAGTTGAATTTTGGGGTTTTCTCGGACGTGAGTTGCTCTTTGCTCTGCCTTCCTTCCTGACATCTGAATGTTGGGTATGCAGGTAAGCCTCCTCGTTCCTGGGTAGTGAATTTATGAATTTTGTTTAATGAGATTTGGTGAATATTGTGAAGTCTCTGTAGGCTACCTATACTTTAACTATGATATGATAACATAATTAAAGTCTGTGTGAGTGTCTTAATCTCCTGAGCATAGCCAAAATTAATGGTTAATAAGTAAGTGTCTCTAATAATCGGCAAAAAAGAAAGACAAATTTACAAGAATAAAGTTTACTCTTGTTATAGAAGAACATATGCAAAACAAGTTATAGAACCACCAATTTAAAAGATAGATTGTAAGGAAGCACTCAACAATTGTCAAAATTTTGCTATTAGGTTGCTCATAGAACTTCAATATCTAAATCCTTGCAACATACCAAATAACATGACAGAACCAAAATAATAAATAGACCCTTGGTTTAATATTCTTTTGGAAGAACAAATATGTGGTTTGATATTCCTGGATGGGAAACAGATTTTGATTTGAGTCCAGATTTTTTTTTTCTTCTGTCAAGGTTTCGATGTTGGATGTATATTTTCTCTGGTACTCCTCGAAATTCTAGTTAGTTATCCTTATTGTTATACAACTTATCTTGACTATTTTTTGTTTTTGGCTTTGCATTAACCAGGTTTTTGGAGGATTTCAACTTGGATGCTCTACACGTTCAAAGTTGGATGCATATTTTCAAAACTCTAGTTAGTTATCTTTACTATTTTTGGTATTGTTTCACATTATATTTTAGATATTGCGTTAACTTGTAAATTTGATTAATAAACATATTAATTTAAGATGAAATTTAAATGTTATAATGTAGGATAAATATTTATTGAGTTAAAAATTTGGGGATTCGGGGCGGGCTTGGGAGGATGTAGCCCCCCAATGGTGACGTGGATGTATACGGTTTTGAAGAATGGCTTCGTTTTGGTACCAATCTTCAATAATTTTACTCACACACAATTAATTGTATGAGTTAGGATGTGAATGGGGTGGAATCCAGTGTAATGCGTAAGCACTGGCCTTTAATTTTTTTTTAAAACTAAAATATTCAGTATTGAGCACAATTGTTAAGTTGTGCCATTACAACAGTCCAATCAATGATAAAGCAATTGAGTTAGCTCGTCAGAAGAATACTAAGCACAAAGATCAGTTTTTGTGCTTTACAAAGGTGGACACTGACGACAAATTTGTGCCCTATAACCAATGGAAACTCCTATATAGACAACCGACAATTTAAAAGTGGCTGCAGCGTGGTTATTGGCATAGAGCACATATATTTGTGGTTTTTTGCATTGAAGAGCACTAATAAAAATTGTGTCCAAACCCAATTATTGTAGTAGTGCGGAAGGTTGAACATAACAATATAATATTTAGTTTAATATTTATTTTGAGTTTTAGTAACTATATAATAAATTAGTTTTGTCAAATTGAATTGAGATTATTTTGAGTTGTTGAGTTAAATTTTATAATTCAATTGAATGTAATTGAGTTTAATGATAATTTAAGATGAAATTTAAATGTTATAATGTAGGATAAATATTTATTGAGTTAAAAATTTGGGGATTCGGGGCGGGCTTGGGAGGATGTAGCCCCCCAATGGTGACGTGGATGGGGAATCCCCCAAAATTTTTTGTTGGGGATAAAGTCAGGGACGGGGATACCCAGCCTCGAAACTGTCCCATTTCCATCCCTATCTTCAACTTCAACTACATCAATTCTCAATTCGATCAATTTTCTATGGCTTTTCTTGTTCTTCTCTTGTCTGTGCTTGGTCGACCCCTTGACACATGTCCAAGTAATTTGTTGGCAACAACACTTTCTCCTTCTTCTTGTCCCCATAACACAGTTTAAGTAATACTTATGGGCAACAACACTTCCTCCTTGTTCTAATTCTTCTACTGCCATAAATTGAAGCAACTACAAATGCAATAGCCAAGCACAATAGAATTAGGTGGTAGTCAGCCAAAGTCGAAGGTGGAGGGGGAGGGAGAGGGTGCTGGTGGGGTTGGAGACGGACCCCGAATTTGAAAATGGGGTGGCCTAAATTCACCTTACTTACAAACCTACTAAAAAGAAGATATATATGTGGGTGAAGAAAAAAGAGGGGGGTCTTAAATTTCGATGATTTCGGAAATATCAGTGGTCCCAAAATTAGGAAATATCAACAAATTTGATAAAAACAATGGAAACTGTGAGGATTTCGGAAATATCAGTGGTCCCAAAATTAGGAAATGTCGACAAATTTGATAAAAACAATGGAAACTGTGAGAAAAATATAGAAATTGTTAATGAAACTTTAGAAAATGTTACATATTATTTTAACACAAAAAAATTGAAAGAAATCTATTGCATAGTGATTTTGAGTGATTTAAGTGAGTATTGACAAAGATTATAACTTATATGATTTTAATGTATATTAATTAATGAAAGAGTATTAAAACCATTTTTTAGAAGCACTAAATATGGCAGTGTGTTAAATAATTAAACAAAATTCGTTGTAGTTTGTTAGTTGAGCCTCTAATCCTCTATTGGGAAATGCCAGGACATGTTGGTTACAAAAATATGTATTAGGAATATATATAAAAATTTGTATCGGCTATAGCCCATACAGCCCACAATGTCAATCCGTTCCTGGAGGCGGATGAGGGTTGGTTGGTGATTGGTGTGCGATGGAGGAGGTGATGAATTTTTTTTCTTTTTCAAAATTTTCTTTCAATGGTTTTATAATTTTTAGATTATTTTTTAAATATATTTTTTAATTTAACCACGTGGTGTCTTATTATTGGATATGTGAAGCCCATATGTCTGCCACATCATTAATTTAACAGATTTTTGGACGAAAGCTGACGGCAGGGATAACTTGTGAGCACGTATATGTTAACCTTAAGGACCACTAATGACACAAAATAACAAAATGGATGCAACATGATAGGCTTGTGAACCTCAAAAACTTTTTATAATAAATAAAAAAAACCTTAATAAAATGTCCACCAAAAGACAAAATTCCAATTTGGAAACGATTAGTCTTGAAATTCTAAAATTCGTAATTCCTGAATTAATCAACTCAAAGCCAAAAATCCCCATTAATTCTAAAGTAATCAAATAAAAGCCAGGTGATACAAAAGCACTCCATTCTAAAACCAAACTCGTACAAAACCATCCAATCAAACGAACTACATCGATTTGACCCACCAAGGATACAAAGGCAATCTAGTATCCCACTAGATGTAACCGCAACAAAATTTGACTCACTGGTTCAAATGAACCAACTGCAACATAAACATAAGGCTTTTGATCACAAATGGTCCTTCATGTTTACGAAATTATCAAGAAATGATCCTTGAGGTTTTTTTGTGACACTAATAGTCCTTAACGTTTGGGCTTTTTATCACAAATGGTCCATGCCGTTATAAATTATGTTAAGTGTGACGTGGCAGATAAGTGGAGTCCACATGTCCAATCACATTGTAACATGTGGATAAAAAATAATTAAATAATTTTTTTAATGAAAATTCCTTTTTTTTCTGCAACTTTTCATCCCCCTTCCTTACTCCGTCTCTCTCCCTCTATGCCTTTGCTCTCCATCTCTTCTCCCTTTGTCCTCATCTGAAAAATCCATCACATCATTAGTATCCTCCAAGGCACCTTGTTGGGCTGGTGCAAGATTAAGCGCCTGCAAGGTCTTGTAATTCTTCTCTAGCAAATTGATGACACTTTTCTGCCTAAAAATTGAGCCAAGCGTTTTGTTCTTCCTATTGAAACAGATCCGCAAAAAGCCATCCCACTCCTTTTGGTTCACTTCAAAAGGTGGTTTCCAGGGTTCAATTCGAACGACAGAGGAATCTACCTTAGGCGGAGGGCGAAAGTTGTACATTCCAACTTTGAGTGGGTGGGAGACCCGAGACAAGAGTTGCGTGTTGACGGTAAGACGACAGTAGAGCTTGTCACCAGAAAAAATGGGGATGAAAAGTTGTAGAAAAAAAAATGGAATTTTCATTAAAAAAAATTTATTTAATTATTTTTTATCCACATGTCACAATGTGATTGGACATGTGGGCTCCACTTATCTGCCACGTCACACTTAACAGAATTTATAACGGCAGGGACCATTTGTGATAAAAAGCCCAAACGTTAAGGACTATTAGTTTCACAAAAAAACCTCAAGGACCATTCGTGATAATTTCGTAAACGTGAAGGACCATTTGTGATAAAAAGCCTAAACATAATATGTGGTTTATCCTAACCAAATTCGCTTAAAATGCTGCAAATTTCATACCAATAAAGCCAAATAAATACAATGAACCACAAGTTGCGTAATAATCTCATTCTTCAACGGCAAACATCAACAACAACTCGACAAGGGTCTAGACCCTTTACCCACGTAAATCACACCCAAAGTGTGAACATATCATAGCAATAGTCTACTTATTTATAAATATTTACGTAGAAACATGAAGAATAGACCACACATATTTACTTAGATTTAACCACACGTTTGAAACAATTTGGACATGTTTGTTATGATGATTGGTAGGGAGAAGATAAGCATTACTCATACGTCTAAAGAAGAAAGGGACAACCTAATTCAAAGTCAATTGTTGCGGTAATACACGTTTCCCTGCTTGTTGTTTGAGTTTTGTTCCGCTTCTAATTTGAGCCCTGTTTACAATTACAAAAGTAAATGTTATACACAATTCGCACACTTAATCTTATACACGATAACAAATGAGTGCTGCTATTTCCACCCATATGTCCTATTTTCCCACCCACTTTATTTTCAAAATTTTTAAGATAAATTTATTCCTTTGCAAAATGACGTCTAAGGACCTAAGAAAAAAACTTTTTAAAAGCATTTCAAATATAAAATAAAAATAAAACAACATTTTTTCATTTTGTTGGATTTGGTGGCAGCAGTTAAATGAATCTATGTTCCTCGTTTCCTCTGTTTTTTTTTAATCCATTCTTTCGTGTGGTCTCTTTTTTTGTTGGTTGTGGTTGCTAATATATTTTTTTTAAATCAATGTTATTTTATTATTAGTTTACTTTAATAATTTAAGGGTGTTTTAGGAATAATGGTGGGTGGAAAGATAAAATTTTATTTTTTTTAAATTTATATGGTGGGTGGGAAGATAAGGTGGGTGGGGAAATAGGACAAGGGGGTGGAAATAGCAGCACTCTAAATTATATTTAGCTCAATATGAAATTAAATTGTATGAAATCTAAGCTTCAAATCCCAATATATTTCAGAATTCAAAAATTTTCAAAATTTCGAGATACATTCCAATTCCAATCCAACTTTTTTCAGAATTTTCGGATGTTGGAGTTGATTTGTAGTTGCCAAAATTGTGAATTCGCAGGATTTTTCTGTAGAGGTGAATTTGCATTTTTTTGGTATTAATAGTGGCTTCGTCTTGCAGCTCTCGCCCCTCAACCCAAATTTCGTGTTGAGGTTGAAGAAGCTCTGCACAAATAACTAAGTTTTTTTGTTGTTGAGGATTTTGCTCAAGTAATGGTGGAGGAGGGTGAAGAGGTGAGGGAGGGGCTGGTGGCTAGTGTGTTGCTGAGGGGGTGGGGCTGCGTCGGGAAGGGGGGAGAGAGGGTTTTTGTTTTTGTATTTTTATTTTTTTAAAATGTTATTTTATTATTAGTTTACTTTAGTAATTTAAGTGTGATTTAGGAATAATGGTGGGTGGAAAGATAAGATTTTGTTTTTTTTAATTTATATGGTAAGTGGGAAAATAAAGTGGGTGGGGAAATAGGACAGGAGGTGGAAATAGTAGCACTCATAACAAAGTCTTGAACAAAATGTTCGGGAATATATACCAGCAATAAAAAGATTTAATTATGTAAAAGGGTTTGTAGCTTAACTGATTATGAGCATTTAATCACGTATCTGAGGTCCTACATTCGATTCCCTCTTCTTCTAATATCGCTTGTATAAAATAAAAAAAATTATCATGTAAAAGTTAGTACTAATGTTACCTTGGCCTTGTTGCAATATATACAGCAATAGAAGGTGAATTGTTCCATACATTAGAATGCAGCCTTAAGATCCCTCTAGCCTTCTTCTTCAAATGGGCTGTACAGTCTGCTTGCCTTACCATGCAAAGCTTACTAATGTTACCTTGGCCTTGTTACAAGATATACAGCAATACAAGGTGAATTGTTCCATACATTAGAATGCAGCCTTAAGATCCCTTTAACCTTCTTCTTCAAATGGGCTGTACAGTCTGCTTGCATTACCATGCAAATCTTTGACACTGCTCCAACTAACAGCATCTCCAGAAGAACTTCATGTGTCGCTGAGAACATCGCGATCAATGAAAGTATATGGACCGCTCGATCATCTGTTGCTGGTGAAACCCTAAGAATTCTTTTAGACACTAAAGCAATACCACCAGCGTGCTTTAGAAGCTGTGCTCTCCCATCAGCGCAGCCACACAAATTGGCCAAGAGATTGAAGATCAGCTCGGTGATGTGCCTTTCGGGTCTTGCTAGTTCGAGGTCGATGAGCTGGAACATTGCACCGGATTCAACCATCGTCATTCGATTTCTCCCCCACGGGCATGCTTCTATTAAAACATGCAGTGCAGATTTGAGAGCTTCTTGGGAGATCTTCTCTTTAGACACCATTACAATATTCTTGAAAAATTCAAGATTCAACCGCTCGAGCTGACTTGCAGTTATGACTTCCATTGCCATTTTCATTACTAGTATCGCTTCGCTTTTCATGAGGATCGCATGGTAATCCATCTCAGGATCACACCCTAAAACCCAGGTCAAAGATTCAAGAAAGTCATTGCTTCCATTGACAATAAGCTTAACTTCATGATCATCAGCCACACTCCAAACATGGTGCAAAATTCTCAAAGCTTCTAAAACACCATTTCTTTGAGCACCTTCCTTGTAACATCTTACAATGAACAAAACCATAGCTTTGGCAACACCCGCTTCACCCATGGACCTCCTGTTCCTTTGAGCATTCTCTAATGCAAGGGCTTCCAATTTTTTCAATGCGTTGGCCTGCAAATGAGAAACCCCAAGATCCTGGACAAGTCCAGAGACATAGATCTTGTTCAGGGTAAGTTTCGGAGTTGGGATCAAACCTACACCGTTGGTTGCATTTTCTTTGCACCATTGCTGGATCAGCCTGCGGAGCGTGTGATTAGGCGTCAAGTCGTTGTCTCTTGGCAAGGCCTGCTTTGTGACCGGGCACGACATGTCGTGTGTTGTTGAAAACCACTGCTCGATGCTTTCGCGGTCGTAGGTGATGCCGGTCAACACTGTTACTGGGTCTTTCATGATCTGAAGAGATATGGGACATATGAAATACTCAGGTATCTGAATTTCCTCCATTGAAATTAGGGTAAGTCGAAGACTTCTTTCGAAATGTAAAATACCCTGGTTGGCTTTTTATATACAAACTTTTGTGTTCAGTGGTAAGAGAAAGCGGGCTTGTTTTAATTGGTGAAGATAAGTTCGAAAACAATGACGGTACGCAACTGAAAATTGTTATCAATTTGGAAATATCATTCAAATGTCGGCTTGGCAGTCAAACTTTCCTATTATGATTGGGCTGGTCAACGCACGATGAATTTATAATTCACATTTACTTTCTTCTAGTTATCCACCAAAGACTTCCACTTGTTGTAGCTAAAGTCGTATTCCATGAGGACATGGCGGGCCCCATCAGCTAATAGTGGAGTGGGCCATGCAGTCGACCTTGTGGAAAGTTTCATGGGATTAAAGAAATGAAAACGGCAAAATTTGTGGGCGGCACTTGGCACTGTAGATGTCAGAAGAATTAAAGAAATTACGAAAAGCCATTTGCACTGCAATTTCCAGAGTTCCTCTAGATACGAATTCCAACTTATGTTTAAAGTAAGTGGACTTTAATTACCAGAAAAGAAACAAAAAAGAGTGATTCACACGTCAGATATGTAGTAAGATTATACATATAATTCAAAATTTGATCATTGTAAGATTACTTATTCTTTTTTGTTTTCAAGTTTTCAAGGTTTGAAAAACTAACTTGTGACGAATTATATATAGTTTTCAAACCCTGTAACAAGATAATAATTACCATATGTCATGATGAGACAAGTAAATTTTATAATACATAGCAGTCCCTTTTTTTTTTCCAAAGCAAATGTGCATCATTCACATTGCTTTGGAAAAGAAAAGGAGCTTGAATTATAGACTTAATAGCAATTCACATGATTCACATCGGGTGAAAAGTTCGTGTGAAAAGTTAATATATCTCAATTGGAGTTAATGGATGCATACATACACAAAAGTGAAGCCAATAAAGACCAACAAGGATTAGTTGACCCTTCTGAAGTTCCGTAAATAACCTACATTCGTTAAGTTTTACCCTTTATGTATAATTTATTATTAAATATGACCCTTCTAAACTTTCCTTTTTTAATTACTTAATAATTACTGACCTAAAAGCTAAAGCAACCCCTTTGCACCACTTAAATTAAAACCTATTCTATTTCAAGTCTTCCTTTGCACCAATCATTCACTTTTTTTTTTCTCCGACTCTAATTAAAGTTAGTTCTTTGTATAAATTCAACTTTGTTTCACTAAATTGTGACGATCAATCCAGTAAGTCTTTAAATTTAATAGTGTGAATGTATTGAAATGATATATGTGAGAAAGATACCTTTGATATTATTGATAATGAAGTGATTGTGAAAAGATTTCAAAAGATGAACATTCGTCGAGGACAATTGTGAATGTATTGAAATGACATTTGAGTTATTACTAAAGACTTTGTATTATTAGATAAAATCTTATTTTGCGATGATTTTATTATTTGAGGTTGACTATACTTAATGAATTTTCTAACTCCGCCATTATACATACATATCTCATCTTCCCCAACCCCCATCCCCACCTCTCCCTTACCCACCACCTAGATCTACCTACACACACTATCTAGTCTCTCTCTCTCTCTCTCTCTCTCTCTCTCTCTCTCTCTCTCTCATGTTTTTTGTTACTTTTTTCTAATTTTATTTTTTATATATTTGATTTTAAAATTTTAACTTTATTAATTTTAATTGTTTATAAAAAAAAAATCCACATTTTTAATTGTTTTTTGGTCTATGTGGAGTCCAAATTAGCATAAAAAATGGGATTTACATTTTCCACGTCAGCATTTAACAGATCTACTAACAAACTCAATAACATAGAGTCTCATTTGTAGGGTTTCTATAAGTTGGGGTACCGGTCAAGCGGGTCTTTAAAGGTTGGGTATGAGTTTGTAATGACCCCCATAGTTTGGGAGATTTACTCTAGTTGATCCTATATATATAGGGTTAGGATTAGGAGACACTTTTTGACATAAATTTTGACACACTTTTGAGATCCTTAGATTTAAGCACTTTCAACAGTTGAGATTAATGGTAAAATAATTTTTTAAATTTAAAAAATAAAATGAAAATATTACTTCTCTCTCCTCATCTCAATTTTCGGGAATTTAAACATTTCTTCCCAAAAAGCCTCTCTCTCCCTTCCACAAAAATACCATCTTCCGCCATTGAAGCACTCTCTCCCTCTTCTTCTTCTCCAAGTTTCCAACTCAAAACCAGAAATAAAATAAATAAATAAATTTGAACTAGCAATCCAAATCTGGCACCATGTTTATAATACCAACAAGACCAGAAGTTAAAACCAATTAAATCATCTTTTGGTGTAATCTTAAAATTTAAAGCTTTAGAGCATTTCCAGCAATGCAGCCAAGGGGAGGGCTGGGGGGGCAAGCCCAAAATGCTGTTTCCAGCAACAAAATGGAGCCTGGGCAAGCAGTGGGACCCAGCGAATTACGCTGGCCCGAGCGCCAAAACTCGTTTTGGGGATGATGTCAGCGCACTGACGTCACGACGACGTCAGCCCTGGCGTTCAAATTGCACGCGCCAACGTTAAAAAAAATTTGACGCGCCCGCTACAGTCCCCCAACGGCTATCTTCCACGTGGCGCGCGCTGGGCTCTCCGATCCGATTTTTTCCAGCAATCCAACGGCAGTCATTTTTTGTGCAATAAAACATTGAAAAAAAATCGAAATTTAAAAAAAAAAAATACTGAATTTGTTTTCTATAAATACCAACCAATACTCTTCACTTTTAACACCAAATCCTCATACATTATCTTCTCCTTCTACTCAATATTTTTTTTCACTTTCAAGTTGTATTTTTCTCTATCATATTATGGGTTCTTCTAATGAAACCGGAGGGGCATGGAGCATGATGGAAGATGTTTTGTTGTGTGAGTGTTGGGTCCAAATTAGTCATTGTCCCGTAACGGGAAATGAGATGAAATTCTGTCATATGTGGAAAAAAAAAATTCATCAGGAATTTTGTGAAAGGGCAATTGGTTCGACCCGTACGGAAATAGCATTATCTAGTAGGTGGAAAATTCTTAATAAAGAGTTGGCGAAATGGAGAGATGCCTTGGCAAAAGCGATGAACAACCATAGAAGTGGGGAAAACCTTAGCAATGAGGAAAATTATTTGTAATTTTCGTTTTATTAATTTCTATGTCATATTAATTTTTATTTAAATGTTTCTTGCAATTTATATATTTTATTAATATTTCTTGTATTTCCAATATTTATTTAAATGTTTCTTGCAATATTTATTGCATTTCTAATAAATTGTTAAAATTTCTTGCATTTCCATTATTTTTTTTTTTACATGTTGCATTGACAATATTTTTTAAAGTTTGTTGCATTTCCATTATTTTTTTATATAGATTATGCAAGCACAAATGTGGTTTGGTGCTACTGGGTAAGGCAAAAAAAGTTTCAATCATACCCAATGTTGGGAGGCAGTGAAGAATTGTAAGAGATTCCAAATTATTCTAACGGGTCCATAGGTGGTGTTGAACGAGATGCCACTCCATGAGACACCGACATTGGATTCACCTATGGATTCCCCGATGAGTCAAGACTCACCTATTGAAAAGGAGCCTAGGCCTATTGGGAGGAAAGCGGCGAAGACAAAGAGAGGGAGTAATTCTACCAAGAATGCATCTAAATTTTTGGAGGACTTAGCAAAGCACCAAGCCATGAGAATTGAAATGGATATGAAACAACAAGAGCATGATAGGGCAATTCAACTAGAATATGCCAAAGAAAGGGAGTATATACGCAAAGAAAGGGAGTATGTACGCCAAGAAAACATTGAAAAAAAGGATCGGGAAACCATGGCCATGAATACAAGCCATATGTCCCCTGAATCAAAACAATTTTGGAAGCTAGAACGAAGGGATGTTATGAGACGAATGCTTTTTCGTGACGATGGACCTAGCAACACGGATTGGTTGGATGATCAAAACCATTAAGTTAGTTTGCTTGCCTTTCATTTCATTGTATTTTTTTTTTGTTTAATAAATTAGTGGTAATTCATGTATTTTGTTTTCTTAGTTGTATTGATTGTATTTTAGTGAATAAAGAAAATATTCAACAAAATTCCTTTTTATTCAAAACATTCCATACATAAAAAACAAACCACAACCAAAGCATACAAAATAAAAAAACCATAACCAAAGCATTAAAAAAAACAAAGCATAACTAAAAATACAACATCAACATAATAAATTAAAAAAACGTCTTCACTTCACTTCATTCACCTTCATTGCCTTTCACCGCCCATAAGTGCTCCATCAAGTCAACTTGACGTTGTTAATAAATATACGATGATTGCATCTCTGTGTAGTGATCAATCATACGGGGCATGAAACTATCGTCTCGAACCAACGGTTCATGCTGCACTGGTTCTCCATTTGGCCCCATGGGTTTTTCATAAATTCGTGTCAAGGCCGTGTTCATGGGATCTGGTTCATACACTTCATCAGCTAGATAATCATACTCATCCTCCACAATCATGTTGTGGAGGATGATACAAGTCATCATTATGCTCCTAAGCACCTCTTCGTCAAATAGACGCACCGCGCCCCTAATAATAGCCCACTGCGCTTGGAGGATACCAAATCACCTCTCCACATCTTTTCTGTAACCCTCTTGATAGGTAGCAAATAATTTTTGCTTATGGGATCGGGGATGTGGAATTGATTTCACAAATGTGGTCCACCTTGGGTAGATGCCGTCAGCTAGATAATACCCATTTTGGTAGACGGTATTGTTGATTTCATATGTGACATTTGGGGCTTCACCTCTCAATACATCATTAAACACCGGGGATTGACCTAGGACGTTCAAATCGTTTTGAGATCCGGCAAATATGAAGAAAGCATGCCAAACCCATGTATCGAATCCAGCAACTACTTCAAGGATGATTGATTTCTGCCCTTTCCTGTTTCTGTAATCCCCTTGCCAAGCAGTTGGACAATTTTTCCATTGCCAGTGCATGCAATCAATGCTGCCAATCATTCCA